AAAAAAAAAAAAAAAAAAGAAGCGAGTCCACGTTTTTACTCTTTGATTGGGAGGGAGGGGGGACCATGACATCTACGCCCCGTCGCTTGCTCTCTTGTTGTTGTTAGGGAAGATACAGTTTTAAAGAGCATTTCAACCTTTCTCGTTGAACTGGGAATTGTAAGGTACTTTATCTGGGCAGATGTTGTAAAGGAGAGAGGTGAAGAGGAGGAGTGTTTGATTATGAGCTCTGCCCTGCCTTCCTAGCAGGAGCATGGGGGAATCTGAGTGAAGAGCTAGGGGGCAGGAAGGGGTAGGGCAGGGAAAACAGGGGAAAGGATGGTCTTGACCAGGCAAGACCAGGCTGGCCTGGTGCCCAGGGAATCAGCGGCAAGTCGCACTAGAGACTGCACAACTGGCAGCCAGCCAGCTGATTGGTTCTAAGTCACGGTAGTGACCCAGACCAGTGACTGAAGAGATGCACTCCTTGTCCAGGTGGGTGGTCTCAGTCCCTATGGAACTTGAAACCAGGCCAGATCACACTGTCATTTCTTACCATAGTCACCTACCTACCATCCTTCCATTATTTTTACTCCCTCTCTCCTAGTTGTATTTTTTCCTCCCCTATAAGCGTGCAGTTCTCCCACCTCTAGGCATGCATGCGTGTTCACACTCAGTGAAAATGCTGCTTTTGATCTCTTCTCACCACGAGGTCCTCTGATCCATATAGAATTTCTTTTTTTTTGAGTTGGAGTCTCACTCTGTCACCCAGACTGGAGTGCAGTGGCCACTCCCAGCCACCGCAGCCTCGACCTGCTGGGCTCTGGCAATCCTTTCGCCTCAGCCTTCTGAGTAGCTAGAACTACAGGCGCACGCTACCACACCTGGCTGATTTTTGATTTATTGTAGAGATGAAGTCTCACCAAGTTGTCCAAGCGGGTCTCGAACCCGCGGGCTCAGGTAATCCACTCACCTCAGCCTCCCAAAGCCTGGGATTACAACGTAATGAGGTCATGGGAATGAGGCCATAGCTGAATTTTTATGGTTGATTGTCTCTTTTATTCATATCTGGTTAAGGAGAAGAAGGAACTGAGTACAGGTCCTGGTAAGTTGTCACGCCAGGAACATAAGCTGAAGGGATATGGGACACAGCCTGGAGGCTTGTTATCTGAGGAGGGAAGTTTGCCTCCTAGTCTGCCGGTTTGCACTAAGCAGGTAGCTTCAATGGCTAGGAGTGTGTACCTTACAATTCCAAGTTCTATGAAAAAGGTTAAAATGCTGTTTAAAACTGCATCTTCTGGTCAACAGGTTGTGTTAACTAGAGTCTCAAGATTGCCAAGAAGAGAAAAAGAACAATCTGGGAACTGCTGATGCCTGTTTGTGCATTCTTTCATTTGGAAGGCAGTGTAATCTAGTGCTTAAGAATAAAGATTCTACTTAGACAAAGCAGGTCTTGAATCCAGCCCCTCTTTGTAGTTATACACGTCTTTTCTTTCTGTTTTAAAATTATTTTAGAGACAGTGTCTTAATCTATCACTCAGACTGGAGTGCAGTGGCATGATCATAGCTCACTACAGCCTGGAACTCCTGGGCTCAAGCCATCTTCCTGCCCTGGCCTCCCAAAGTACTGAGACTACAGGCATGAGCTACAATGGTTGGCCTGTTTTATTTTAAAGTGAGAGAGAGAAGTTTTTTCCTGTTTGTCTTGTCCCAGAGTCACAAGCTTTCCTAATTTTAACTTTTTGTATTAGATTAGCCATTTCTCAAGACCATGAAATGCCAGTTGTGGACAGCGACATGCAGAGACTAGTTCTTTCTTCTTCTTGACTGAGTCTTATGATTTCCTAAACCAAAAATGCCTTAGGGAGAGCTCAGCCCAAAGCCAGGTGCCTGTGTAATCAAGTGTTCGTGGAGTTCTTGCACCACGGGGGACAGCTCTAAGCTTTGCCCTCATCACAGAATCACTTTTGTCTTTGAGCAAGGACAGAAAGCTTTTTTCTTGCCTCCAACTTTCCTTACACCTATAAAAGGACAACACTGGAGGGGGAACCAAAGCAAACCTTAGTCTTTGGATCTGAAAACACAGGTAATTAAGGGAACCCACCAGCTTAGACGGGAGAATGAAGAATTGATGAGCTCTCCTTCTCTGTCTGCAGGAAAATGCTGTCTTGTGGGGTGTGTACATCAGCCGTCCAGCTTCCTGGGAAGGTAGCTGTGGTCACTGGTGCTAACACAGGCATTGGGAAGGAGACAGCCAAAGAGCTGGCTCAAAGAGGCAAGTTCACCTGATTTTGGTTCCTTCCTACTACTGCTGTTTTACCCCTCACAGTGATGATTTTTCTCACTGTTTTCTTCCCCATCTTGGAATTTAGGAACACCTAGGTGACCCATGGACTTGCCAGTCTGGACCTAGTGTTAAGCTCTACATATAATGGATACCTGATGAATATTATTGATTTCTTTTTCTTTTCAGATTGGAAAATATAGTTTATTTAGAAAGCAAATGAGAGAGAGAGAGAGGAGATTCATCTCCCCAAGGTAGGGTAGGGGGACCAAAGCTAGAAAAACATGGCCTGGTCATAGCTCAAAGAACACGTGGCTCAGCCAGTGCTTAACAAAACAACGGCTGATTTATTTTTCTTTCCCTGTTTGCTATTCTGATACCTCTGTTGTGAAGCAGGGGTAAAAGTTCCCATTAAAAAAAAAATGTTGGAAATAACATTTAACAACAGCATTAGGTCTATAATGCCCACTCACAAGAAAAAGAGCTGACAGTTTCTCTCTCGTGTTGGCTGATAGGAGCTCGCGTATACTTAGCTTGCCGAGATGTGCAGAAGGGGGAATTGGTGGCCAGAGAGATTCAGACCACGACGGGGAACGAGCAGGTGCTGGTACGGAAACTGGACCTATCTGATACTAAGTCTATTCGAGACTTTGCTAAGGACTTCTTAGCAGGTAAGTATAGAACAAGAGAGACTATGTTGGGATCAATACTTGTGATCAATAAGACAAGACTTAATTAAAAGGAAAAGATCCTTTTTTCTCTAATACATAGAACTGGTGGGTAAAATATAATCAAAACCTTTTGGTATATAGCTGAAGACATCATTTATGTCAAGTGGACATCGTTAGGAAGTGGAAACAAAAAGAGAATTTGGAAAGTCAAAGCAGGAGCTGAAACCAGAAACCTCATGGAAGTATCAGAACTCACTGTGGGCTTTTTAGGGTCTTGGGTCTTAACACCCACACAGACATAGGGGATGAGGCCTGAGACCTCGAGAGCTGGAACTATATCTGAGGTTCCATATGAGGGCCATTCATTAAGTGCCGTCTGGTCCATAGTATAGGGGCTAATAAAAACACTGGGCACCAGCTCAGGGACATTACAGAGAAGCTTACCATCTCCTTAGGACATGGATGGATGAAGAGTCATCTGCAAAATATTAGAACCCCAAGCTGGCATCATCTGTGTGGTCTGAATTCACCCCACCAAATGGTGTAAGGGTCTTTTTTTTGTATGTGTGTGTGTTATCTTGAGCCAATAAATTAACATAAAAACCTGTAGTATCTCCTAAATAGCAAATCCAAGAACACTCTGTAGACAGACTCCCTCATAACCCAGGGATCTAGGCCTCCAAGGAAAACAGCTTCCAGTGATACAAACTTATAGTCATAAATTACAAACCATGTGAGGAAATGAATCCTTAGAAAGAGTTGGATGTTGCAACAAAGAAGTGAAACCAGTATTTCTTCTGGGACCTAAATCTCAGTGACAGGGGTGTGCATGGAAGATCCCTTTTCCCTTGCTTTGGAATCTTTACATCTTTCTGTTGGGAGAGAGAGAAGGAAAACTTCCCAAAAGCAGTAGGTAAGTAGCTCCTAACTAGAAAGGTTGGAAAGAGCATTTGGTAATATAAAATGGAATTTTGCACAGTAGGAAAAGGACGTAATATTCAACTAAAGTCTTAAAATGAAAGACACTACAAAATAAGTTTGAAGGGAATGGAAGAAAGATTGTAGTCCTACATCCTCACTTTCAAAGCCTGGGTGTGAGGTGGCTTTCTGAGATGTAACAGCTGTGGCTGGCCACTTCCACAGTACATCTTCTTTTCCCTGCAGAGGAAAAGCACCTCCATATTTTGATCAACAATGCAGGAGTGATGATGTGTCCCTACTCTAAGACAGCAGATGGCTTTGAAATGCACATGGGAGTCAACCACTTGGGTAAGAAATCTGGCCTGTTACAAAGCTGCAGGGAACCAAAATTCTCTTTGGAAAAGTTAGCTGTCAGGTTGGGCCACCTTTGTGATGTGATTGGACCTCAGGGCCGTAGTAGACCATGTGTGAATCGTAAATAGTTTGGTCCTGCCTGGCAGCTGAGGAATAAACCTGAGCCTGCTCCGGGTTCTACCCACTTTGTAGTCTAGGATTCAGGCTTGGTTTACCTTGGGGCATCTTTGAACAACCTAATTGAATTAGGAGGCTGTGTTGCTTTCTTAGAAGCTATCCATGTGCCCAGCATCGGGTGGGGGCCACCTGCTGTTAGAGAGTGGTGCTGAGCAAAGTTGGAAGGAGATGGAATCTCATCCTTGCATAGTTCACACCTAGCTCATATAAGGATGCCTCGTGTCTTTGGCTATACCTAGTTCCCTAAACCTTCTCTGAACCTGTTTTTTTAGTTGATTATGAAAAGTTGAGGCCAAAGACCTTATTCCTGCATTCTCCACCTCCTGTAACTGAGCTGCTCACCACTGTTCTCCTCACCCTCATGTTGGTCCCAAATGTTGTTCACTCTAGTTTTTCCTCCACAGGTCACTTCCTCCTGACCCATCTGCTGCTGGAGAAACTAAAGGAATCAGCCCCATCAAGAGTGGTAAACGTGTCTTCCTTAGCACATCACCTGGGAAGGATCCACTTCCATAACCTGCAGGGCGAGAAGTTCTACAACTCAGGTCTGGCTTACTGTCACAGCAAGCTGGCCAACATCCTCTTCACCCAGGAACTGGCCCGGAGGCTAAAAGGTAGGCTTGGGAAGAAATAATATGGAGACACGGATCAGTGGGAGGTGCTAAAAGCCACAGTAATGGAAACTTTCTGGAGCCCATCCCTGGACAGGACCTGCTTCTATGACTATACCTGGCTGTAGTTTTAGAAAGCAGCCTACGACTGAATATTGGAGGTGGTTGGCTGGGGACAGTGAGATTCTGACTCTCAGTGTGCTACTACAGCAAGTTTACATAACTTCTAAGACCTATTTCTTCATATGTAAAATGGAGCTTAATTCAAGCCTCACGAGCAAGTCAGAATTTTTTTCTTATAGTGAGACTGAGTAGAACAGAAGGATCTGAATGGGGACCAGATCCAGGCGTTAGAATGAAACAGGTCCTGGAAATTTGGAAGGACAGGGTCTCCCTAACAGCAAAGGGTCAAATAAGAGTTGCTTGAGAGAGTCTTCAGTCACAAGAAGTCAGGGCTCCTTAGCATTGTGTACTCCGGCTTTACAATAAAAAGAAGGGAAATCTAGGGTAAGCAGTGCTTAGGAACTGAGGCAGGCAGGATTCAGGCTCAGGGAGACAGGCATATGAGCCCTATAGTCGGAACAGGATCATCATACCACTTGGAAGCTGTGAGACCAAGGGAAGGAAGCTGGTGGTTAGTTGAGTCCATATGCCTGCTCTGTGCCCAGGGCATGACATCTCTTACAAGTTCAGGATGGATAAGGGTAACTGGATGGTGAAAACTATCCAAAGGGTTAGTCACGGAGCTAGGATGTCTGGAGGTGGAGAGATGGGTCCAGTGGTGAGAATTAGATAAAAGCACAGTATGTGTGAGTGAAGTATCCCTGATAATTCTGAAGATTAGGTGGAAAATAGTGTGGTTCAGTGAAAAAACCCTGGTAGGACAAGATTTATTCATTTAACCATTCAGCAGACATGTAGGGTTAGGGATTGGCGATGGGATGGTGAACAAGATAAGTACAGGCTCTTTCCTGAGTTGGTTTACACCTAATGAGGGAGAGAGACAGTAAGTGTTTGTACAAACTGTCACATGTAAGATCAGTCTAGTAATACATGAATAATTCTCATTGTAAAAAGCTCAAATACATTCTGGGAGATCGAGGCAAGAGGATCACTTGAGGCCAGGAGTTGAAGACCAGCCTGGGCAACATAGCAAGACCCTATCTCTGTAAAAAAAAACAACAACTTTAAAAATTGGCTAGGTGTGGTGGTCCACACCTGTAGTTCCAACTTTTCAGGAGGCTGAAGCAGAAGGATCATGCAAGCCCAGGAGTTCAAGGCTGCAAGTGAGTTATGATTGCACCTCTGCACTCAAGCCTGTATGGCAGTGAGACCTGTCTCTTAAAAAAAAAAGTTGAAATAATATGGAAGTATATAGAATTAAAAAGTATAAATCCTTTTCATTTATTTCCCTCTTCCCCCCTTTTCTCCCTTCAAGTGACCATAGTCAATAGCTTGTTGTGCCCCTTTCTAATGATTTTTCTATGCACTACATATGTATGTATCATACCCAGGGAACTGAAGTTGTATAACACAATGTTTTGGAGATCAGCTGAGCCTGAAGGATAATTATAAATTAGATGGATTACAGGCACAGGTGGGGTGTGGAGGCTGAGAAACAGTCCAGGCAGAAGGAAGAGAATGTATGTAGGTCTGGGTTCAGTTTGAGAGCTACCATAGTTAGATTATAGAAAAAAAGAGGAATCTGAGCTGAGACTGGTGAGGAAGGTAGCCAAATCCTTAGAGGCCACAATAAGGATTTTAGTATTTATTCTAAGAGCAGGAGGAAACCTTTAAAATTAAAGCCCTTTAAAAATGGCAGCAGGAGCCGGGCTCGGTGGCTCAGCCTGTAATCCCACGCCTTTGGGAGGCTGAGGTGAGTGGATTGCCTGAGCCCGTGGGTTCAAGACCCACCTGGACAGGCGAGACCTCGTCTCTACAATAAAATCAAAAAATTAGCTGGGTGTGGTAGCGCGCGCCTGTAATTCTGGCTACTCAGAAGGCTGAGGCGGAAGGATCGCCGGAGCCCAGCAGGTCGAGGCTGCGGTGGCTGGGAGCGGCCACTGCACTCCAGTCTGGGTGACAGAGTGAGACTCCAACTAAAAAAAAAAAAAAAAAAAAAAAAAATGGCAGCAGGAGTGGATGCAGCAGGCAGTTTAAATATTTTAAGACGAAAAATGATGGTAGATTGGACTAGGGTGGTGGAGATGGAGGGCAGTAAAAGCAGGGCAGTCCGGAGAGATATTTTAGGATGTGAAAACTACAGAACTTGTTGATTGGATATGCATGGTGAGGTAGGGAGTTTTTAGGAACTTCCATGTGTCTGATTGGGCATATAGGGAATACAGCAAGAACCAGGCTTGGCCTTAAAAATAGAAGTCATTTTGGGACCTCAGAGTCTGCATTACTGTTGTCTTCTAGGGTGGATGTCTGCGGGGCGTCTAGCCTCTGCTGAGCAGGGCCTGAGTTGGGGGGAGGGAATGAGAAAAGAAACAGACAAGAGAAACAGCGTGATTGGGAGGGCTTCCTCTCAGGTATCTGTGAGTGAGAGAGAGCAAGTTCATTTTCACAGCATGCCTCTTATATGGGGCAAAATCACACATAGGAGGGCAGAACCACACAAGCAGGATATATGTTAATGTCTAAACTAAATCACACAAGCAGGGGAAGTATTGATGACTAAACTATGCATATCTTAACATCTGTGCTTTCTAAGTTAAAAGCAAGGCAAACACTTAAGATAAATAGCCTTGGGCCAGACTTGGCACCACTCTGCTATCCATAGAATAGCTAGACTTGGCACCGCTCTGCTATCCATAGAAATGCAACCAAAACATCAGGGGAGACAAAGGAAATGTAGGCTTGGTTCCTTGAACACAAGCCAAGAAACATAAGGACCTTGTCAGCTTATGCTCTGGTTTCCTTCAGATGTCAAGTAGCACTTGGAAATAATACAAGTCTATAGTCCTTTGCGAAGTCCACAAAGGCCTGGAAATTCTGTGTTTTCCACACGATTTACAGGAGAACCCATTTGGCACCAAAACTTCTCTTGTCTTAGGGAGATTAGGTAATAAACAGTATATGTATATTTTTTTTTTTTGAGTTGGAGTCTCACTCTGTCACCCAGACTGGAGTGCAGTGGTTGCTCTCGGCCACCGCAGCCTCGCCTACTGGGCTTCAGTGATCCTTCCGCCTCAGCCTTCCGAGTAGCCAGAACTACAGGCATGCGCTACCGCACCCGACTGAATTTTTGATTTATTGTAGAGATGAGGTCTCACTGCCCAGGCAGGTCTCGAACCCGTGGGCTCAGGCAATCCACTCACCTCAGCCTCCCCATATTACCTTTTAAAGTCAGAAAAAATTTGAAACATGTCTGGCACCAAGGTTTCCAGTAAAGGATTGGGGAACTAAAATAGCATGTATAAAAGTATTGTTTAGCACTTACCATGCACGTGCACTATTTTAAGCTCTTTAACACACATGAACTCATTTAATCCTCAGAAAAACCCTGTGAGGTGTAGATGTTCTGATTATCCCCAGTTTGTTTGTTTGTTTGTTTATTTGGCATCTCACTCTGTCGCCCAGGCTGGAGTGCATTGGTATGATCACGACCACCACAGCCTCAGCCTGCTGGATTCAGGTGATCCTTCTGCCTCAGCCTCCTGAGTAGCTGGGACTACAGGCGTGCAGCACCATGCCTGGCTAATTTCTTGGATTTATTGTAGTTGCCCAGGCTGGTCTCGGATCCCTCAGGCAGTCCTCTCGCCTCTGCCTCCCAAAGTGCTGGGACTATGTGTGTGAGCCACCCCGCCCAGCCATCCCCATTTTAGAAATGAGGAAATGAGCCTCATAGAGCTGGGACTTAGAACCAGGCAGTTTGTCCACACAGTCCATACCCTTACATTGTGCTGGCTCTCAAATCAGTTTCCAGTTCAGAGGAGCAGTTTGGGCTGTATATAAAAATGTGAGCACCATAAAATTATATAGAGGGAGTTCAGTGAGCCTTGAGGGCACCAACAACATTTAATGTTTGGGTGGAAGATGATGACTGAGTCCAGGAAACTGAGACAAAGTAACGGAAAGGTTGGGAAAACAAGAAGTGGTGTGGGATCGTGGAAGCCAGTAAAAAGAAGACTAAGAAGCAGGTGGTCAACAATGTAAAGTGCTGAGAAGATGAGTCCTGGCTCTGCTGTTTCATAACAGTTGATATAACCTCTTGGAGCCTTCTTAAATCTGGGAGTGGAGGTATAAAATTACTCTGATCAGTACTTGTGATGTCACTGTGGGCAGGGAGGCAATATATGAGGGCCCCATGTTTATGTATATCCTTTGCTGTCTTTGACTGTTCAGCAGACCAAGTCCTGTCTTCCCCTTTTTCCATGGCATCCCGCTGCAGGCTCTGGTGTTACGGCATATTCTGTACACCCTGGCACAGTAAAATCCGAATTGACTCGGCACTCGTCTTTCATGAGGTGCTTGTGGTGGCTCTTCTCCTTCTTCATCAAGACTCCTCAGCAGGGAGCCCAGACCAGCCTGTACTGTGCCTTAACGGAAGGTCTTGAGGGTCTAAGTGGGAATCATTTCAGGTATGAATGTGTTTGTTTGTAAAATAAGATTGTATTGCCCGAAGGAAATATTTTGTCTGGTATACCATCCCCTCCTTAAATAGTACATTGTCTAGTACCGCTTTTGTTTTTTAACTCTAAGGTTTTACCCGTTTTTATAGGGTCTTAACTCCATCACCCAGGCTGGAGTACAATGGCATGATCATGGCTCACCACAACCTTGACCTCTTGGATTCAGACAATCCTTCCACCTCAGCCTCCGTAGTGGCTGGGACTACAAGCCTGCACCACCATGCCTGGCTAATTTTTTGAATTTTTTTACCACAATAATAAGCAGTTTATTAAGAAGGATAGTTAACAGGTGGAGAAATAAGGTCAAACCCCAAATCCCAGTGACCAAGAAACTGCAAGTTTATAGGCCAACTGCTGTTGAAAATGTCTAGGCATCGAGAGCGCTTCATACTAGTCAGGAGGCCATTCCCTTTCTTGCTTGGGTAGTGAGGTCCAAAGCGTGAGTAAGTGCCAAGGGACAGAATAGGACATGAGAAAGCCACCTAAGCTATTAAGCAGCTCATGCTTGTTACCCCAGCACCTTGGGCGGCTCAGACAGGTGCTGGAGCCCAGAAGTTTGAGAGCAGCCGGGGCAACACAGGAAGACCCTGTGCCTCCAAGGCATAACATTAGCCTCCCAATTAGCTGGGACTATAGGGCGGCTGTAGTATTACGGAAGACAAAGACAGGAGGATTGCCTGGGGCACAGAGTTGAGACTCTGACTCAAAAAAAATTAAAAATCTGGGCAACGCAGGGGAGGCAGTCTGATATTTCTTATGGGCTGGCTGGCAGGGGGAGACAGATCAGAGCTGAATGCCCGAGCTGTGTTGAGGCCAGGTGGATGCCTTCCTCAGACAGGGATTTATTTATTTTTTTTTTTGGTAGAGACTAGGTCTCACTATGTTGCTTAGGCTGGGGTTTTTTACCTTTTAATGGGAAATTTGACCCATTCGCTTTTTTTTTTTTGTGGTAACTGCTGGATTTGAACTTATGCCATCTTTTATACTGATAATTGTGTGCTCTGTTTGTTTCCTTTCTTCCTATATATTTTTTTATGTCAGTCTGATTTTCTTTATTCATTTATTTTCTTTATTCATTTTTGGACTCCTATTATTTTACATTAAAAAGAATTTGAATCTGTATTTCTCTGTTGTCTTCAGAACTGCAGTTACCTATAGAATCCTTTCTTGAATAAATGAAGATGTGTAAAACTTTTTATCGTAGAGAAATTTCAGCATCCACACGAGTAGATAAGGTAGCATACTGAACCTACATATACCCATAATCCAGCCTCAACTACCATTAACCCGTTGCCAGCTCTGTCCCATCTATATTCTCTACACCTTTTCATGTTTTTTCTCTCATATTATTTTGAAGCAAATCTCAGGCATTATATGATCACTTCTTTTTTTTTTTATTCTTGGTCTTTTTTTTTTTTTGAGTTGGAGTCTCATTCTGTTGCCCAGACTGGAGTGCAGTGGCACACTCCCAGCCACCACAACCTCGACCTGCTGTGCTCCAGCAACCCTTCTGCCTCAGCCTTCCAACTAGCCAGAACTACAGGCGTGCGCTACCACACCCAGCTAATTTTTTTGATTTATTGTAGAGACAAGGTCTTGCCAAGTTGCCCGGGTGGGCCTCAAACCCGCGGGATCAGGCAATCCATTCGCTTCGGCCTCCCAAAGTACTGGGATTACAGGCTGAGCCACCAAGCCTGGCCCCAGTCATGGTCTTAATCTGTTGCTCAGACTGAGTGCAGTGTCACAGTCACAGCTCACTGCAGCCTCAGACTCCTGAGCTCAAGAGATCCTCCTGCCTCGGCCTCCCAATTAGCTGGGACTATAGGCGCACACCACCATGCCTGACTTAATTTTAAAAAATTTTTTTTGTAGAGATGAAGTCTCACTATGTTGTCCAGGCTAGTCTCAAACTCCTGATCTTTCTGCACCCAGTCGTGATCACAATTTAAATGTGATTTTACAAAACTCCGCTTCAAGTTATTATTGCAATAACCTGACATTTTAGGAAAAGAGCTGTAAATAGCAGTAAGACTGGAAAGAAAGGAAGACAGATTAGGAAATGCCTATAATGCCAGCCTTCTGGAAGAGCCACAAATGTTATTTCAGTAGAGAAAGACATAATCTCTGGTGACTTTGTTTAATGAATAAGTAACCCAGTGAGAGACAGAGTTCGTGAAAGTTAAAATAAAAGGAATGGTAATATGAGAGAAGAAGCAGAATTTTTTCACTGGATGACTAATTGAATGAGGAGTATGAAAGATTTGATAACCTGGATTTCCAAGCCTGAGTGAAGTTGATAATGGCATTGACTAAGACAACGGACAAGGAAAGATAATGTGTGTAGTTTAGGATGCTTGGATTCCAAAACAGTGGAAATGGCCTCTGACTAGCTTAAGCAAGAAGGAAATTTATTGAAATATGAGAGAACTCTTAGGTTGAAAGGGAAGACTGAAGAGCCAGGCTTAGAACAGCCAGAGGGGCTAGAGTGAATGAATGCCAGCTGTCTTCAGTCTTTTGGCTTTGCTTACCATCCCCTCTCCAGGGAGGAAGCATTGGATCTCCTTCCTCCATCCATTCCTTCTTTCCATTCCCTCAATTTCACTTTCTTGATTAGGACAAGACAAACCTTGATTAATAGTCTCTTCAAACTGTATCCGGGGGAAAAGGCAATTCTGCAGAAGGAGGTCAGGTTGCTGTTGCCAAAAGAAAGTGAAGTGAATGTTCAGCCAAAAAGTAACAGTTGCCACTGTGTAATAAACCTGACTGTGTGCATGTTCAGTGTGTATTATCTATAAGACAAGAGAAGTGCGTAGCAGATAGTTGAAAATGTGGTTCTGAAGTACAAGAAGACGGGTTTATATAGTTTTTGCATACTGGATTGATTTTCCAAGAGTGACTGGATTCTACTTCCTTGGAGAGTTTAAGGAAAAAAGTAATCCTTTGTCTTGGTTTTGACTAAGTGATTTAATGAAGTCAGCCTCAGATCCATAACTTAGCATTGTATTGACTTTTGGAGAGCCTGTCCCATACCATGGATTCTTAATTTTGCTTCATTTTTAAGATCCAATTGCAGCTACGTAGACCACTATCAACAAATGAATATAAAAGTCTGTTTTGATCGAAAAGCCTTAGGACCTTTGTACTGGCTGTTCTTTCTGCCTGCAACCACTAATCTATTTTCTTTCTCTAAGGATTTACCTATACTAGACATTTATATAAATACAGTTGTATGATATATGGCCTGACTGATTTCTTTCACTCAGCATAATCTTTTCAAGCTTCATCCATGCCGAAACATGTATCAGTAGTTATTTTTATTGCTGTATAATATTTCATTGTATAGATACACCACATTTTATTTACTCATTTTTCAGTTGATGGGCAGTAGAGTTTCCACTTTTTGGCTGTTTGAATAATGGTACTGTGAGCATTTGTGTAGAAACTTTTGTATGGACATTTCTCTTGGAGACATAGAAGTAAATTTCTGGGTCATATGGTAACTCTGTGTTTAACTGTTGAGGAACTGCCAGACTTTTCCAAAGCGACTATACTATTTTACATTCCTATTAGCAGTGTATGAGTGTTCTAATCTCTCCCCTTCCTTGACAACTCTTGCTATTGTCTGTTCTTTTTATTTTAGCCATCCTAGAGAATATACAGGAGTATCTTTTTTTCATTTTCTTGCTAATGATATTGAACATTTTTTCATGGGCTTTATTGTCCATAATCCTTTGCCCACTTTAAAATTGGATTACTGTCTTTTCATTGTTGAGTCACAAGAATTCTTTATAGTCTAGATACAAGTTCTTTATTAGATATATGATTTGCAAATATTCTCTAGTTATTTGAATTGTCTTTTAACTTTCTTAATGGTATCTTTTGACGTATAGATGTTTTCAATTTTGATAACAATTTTCATCTATTTCTTTTCTTTTGTTACTTGTGCTGTTGATGTTATGTCTGAGAAACCATTGCTTTACCCAAGGTCACAAAGACTTACTACTGTCTTTACTGAAGTCCATTTTCTGTTCCTATAACAGATTACCACAAACTGGATAAATTATAAAGAAAAGAAGTTGATTTAGCTCACAGTCTTGGAGGCTAGGAAGTCCAAGAGCATGGCATTGGTATCTGGTTGTGTTATGTGTCATGATATGGCAGAGGGTGTCACATGGCAGGTGGGCAAGCAAGAACAAACCCACTCCCATGATAGTGACATGAATCCATTCAGGATAGCGGAAGGATTACGCTTCCGACATGTGAACTTTTGGGGAATACATTCAAACCATAGCAGGTACTACATTTTCCTCTTATAGCTTTTAGCACTATATTAAGGTATGTGATCCATTTTGAGCTAATTCTTGTATATGGTATGAGCTAATTCTTGTATATGGTATGAAAGTCCACCTTCATTCTTTTGCATGTAGATATCGAGTTATCTCAGAACAATTTGTTGAAGACTATTTTTCCCCTATTCGGTTGTCTTGGTAAGTTATATTAGTCTGCTTGGGCTGTCATAACAGAATACTATAGACTGAGTGGCTTAAATGACATAAATTTATTTCTCACAATTCTAGAGACTGGAAATCCAAGATCAAGGTGCTGGCAGTGTTGGTTTCTGTGAGGGCTCTCTTCTAACTTGCAGGCGAATGCCTTCTCCTGGTGTCCTCACATGGCCTTTCTTCTGTGCACACACACTTCAGGTGGCTCTGCCTCTTCTTTTAAGGACACCAGTCCTACTGGATTAGTATCCCACCCTTATGACCTCATTTGACCTAATTACCTCCTTAAAGACTCTGTCTCCAAATACAGTCACATTTGGGGAATAGGACTTCAACATGTGAATTTTGGGAAGGATTCCTCCCAAAATTCAATCTATAACAGTAAACCTGTCAAAAATAAATTGACCAGCCGGGCTCGGTGGCTCAGCCTGTAATCCTGCGCCTTTG